GGAGAAATGTGGGATTCACATATAAATCAAGTATAAAAATCAAACAAATAATCATATTTGACTTGTTTATAGTTTATGATGCATGATCAAAACTGAAAGTTTCTTTGATATGACTGCCCTTGCACTGTTCACCATGTAAGAACTTATTCACTATGTAAGAACTTGTTCGTTATGCTTCAGAAGATTGGAGACTGTTGAGAATTAGGCTTGGGGTTGATTAATGATTGTGCATTGAGTCCCCTATACAGAATTTTATTGTTGTTAACAAGCATTTGATCAATAAATATGAGAGATGCCCTCTCAAAAAAAATAAAAATAAAGAAAATAATAATAATAAACCTTATTCATCTCTTAAAAAAAAAAGATGATCAGAGGACCTTGGTTATATAGTGCTACAACTAATTAGAAACCAAAACTATCAATTCTTCCTCTTAGATTACATCGTTTAATCCATTCTCTTCTCTTCATCCTTAGACTGACCCTTCACATCAGCTTCCATTACAAGGCCTCCTGAAGAGGTCTCCCTGCCTCTACTAGGATCAGTATTTCCCAATCTCATCACTCCAGAGTGACTTCTTCTAAAATACAAGCTGAAACATGTCTCTCATACTTTAAAGCCTACAAGATTAAGTCCAACTACATTAACAAAGCACATAAGGCCATCAAGAACTGGTCCCTACTTATATCCTAAACCTTACTCTGGGGCCTAAGCACAGATGCTTAGTAAAGGTGTGCTCAATAAATGGATTTATCTTTGGGTTAGGAAAGAATGAGGCCACATGGGCAAGAAGGCAAACCTTTGACTTAGTTCACTTGACCGAATAGGCTACCCAAATGAAAACCCTATGTCAGTTTCAAACCACATCAATGTCATACTCAAAGAAATTCAAGCTTTTTTCATGCTGTCATTCTTAAAATGAGATAGACTAGTTTAACCTGTGACTCATTGTTTGGCTCGAAATTGCCAGGGTTGGTTTAATTTAGTACATCTACATTTTGGTGCTGGCACACTTGGGCCTGAGCTGTCACAGTACAGGATTTTGTTTCACTTATACCAGAAGAAAAGGGTTTTCGAGTAGCAGCTAATTCCGTTGATTTCTCACATGAAAAAACAGGAAAGCGAATGCCTTCTACTTCTTCCTACATATACTCAAACTATTTTCAAGTGGCAGGAGGATTAGCCTTCTGTCCCAACCACTAACCTTTATGTTGAAGGTAACCACAGTGCCATTTGCCAGTCCTGCATAAAGGATTCGCCACCTACTGTGGAGGCAAAGAACCCGGTCTTGCAGCTGCAACTGCTCCATGCATTCCCGCGTCTGAGAAAAGTATAAAACACCTAATGAGCAGAGGTGGACGGCAAATAAAATGTGAAAACAATCCTTCTAAAAGAGTGTGAAATGATTTTTTTATGAGAAATAAAAAGTAGCATCTTTATTTTGTAGAAGACTACTTTAATTTTTTTCTCCTTTGAAACATGTGGCCAAAGACCTTCAAGCTGCAAACAAATATAAATTCAAGCTGCAAAAAAATAGAAACGTTATCCACGTTTCTAGTTTGAAATGTAGACATTTTCCAAAGCTATGAGTTGGGTCTTAGCCTTTTAAATTAAGTAGTCATAGATAAATTTAAAACTGCATTTGATATCTAAACCAGAAAATGAAGGTTATAGTTGTATATTTGGTAACTGCATTAATCAAATGGGTGCTTTCCTATAATTGATTCTGTATTTCAGTAGCTCCTAAATGTCTCCTTCAAACCAGTGCCAGATTATTTAGCTGGTCCATAATTACCCAAGAAGCTTTTAAAATTTATAGAGTGCCAAACTTCACCACCAATCCTTTTTATTGGCAAGACTGTATTATTTTTGAAGTTATGTGTTATTTCCTCTTATTAAGGAATCTCTCTTCCCAATTTATGTGACATTAACCTTATGTATACCCTTTCCTATGTAATAACTACTTTTCCCTTTTTACTTCAGAGTATTTCTTGCCAAAATTTGCTACAACTTTTTAAGTTTTATTGAAGTATTATTTCCATATAATAAAGTCCACCATATTAAATACATATTTCATTCAGTTTGATAAAGTACAATCATGCAACTATTACCTCAATCAATTTTCAGAATGTTTCCCCCAGTCACCTTGTACCCGTTTTTAATCGCCACTGCCATCCCAGGCAACCCTGATAATTCTGCCTTTTCTAGACTTTCACTTGAAGTCTTTTACATATAGTCTTTTACATATAGTATGTAGTCTTTTACATATGGCTTCTTTCACCCTGCATGATGCTTTTGTGACCCACCCATGTTGCTACAATGCATCAATAGTTTGCTCCTTCTTGTTGCCAGCATTATTCCATTTTTTTGCATGACACATTTTTATATACAACATTTATCCATTTATCAGTTTATGGATGTATTGATTGCTTCAATCATTTTGCTGTAACGAATATGCTGCTAAGAGGTTGATTTTTTCATTCTGGACATTGGAAATTTATGTCTTTTCTCTTTTTTGATCAACTTAACAGTTTATCTATTTTATCTTTTCAAAGCTAGTTTGCTTTTGATTGCAATTTTGATTATTTGTCTATTTTATATATTGAGTTCCACTCTGCTCTTTACTATTTCCTTTTTTCTACTTTTTCTAATTTCTTAGAAATTTAGATCGTTGATTTTAAATGTTTTTTCTAACATAAGCTTTTAAAACTAAAAATTTCCCTTTGAGCAATACAGTAACTGCATCCCATAAATGGTAAGTTGTCTTCTCATTCTTATTTAGTACAAGATATTTCCTAATTTCCCTTGTGACTTCTTTGAATCATGGTAACTTAGAAGTGTGCTATTTCATTTCCCCATATTTGGGAATTTCCCAGACTTCTTTATGTTATTGGTTTCTAATTAAATCCCACTGTAGTTGGAGAACACACTCTAAATGACTTCAATCCTTTTAATTGAGATTCTCATTAAGATTGAAATGTATTTAATGACCCAGTATATGGTCAATCTTGGTGAGCATTTGAAAAGAATGTGTATTCTGCTGCTTTGGGTGGAAGATTCTATAAATGTTAATTCAATCTGTTCATCAATGGTGCTGTCCACCTCTATAACCTTGATTTTCTGTCTAGTAGTCTATCAATTATTGAGAGAGGTGTTAAAGTGTCCAACAATAATCGTGGATTTGTCTATTTCTCCTTGTAGTTCTATCAGTTTTTCTTCATGTATTTTGGAATTTTGTTTTTTTTAATATATATTTTTATTTATATATTTAATATATTTATATGTTATATATTCTTGCTATATTGACCCTTTCACCACTATAGAATACCACCCTTGTCTCTAGCAGTAGTATTCCTTGTCTTAAAATATATTTGCCTGATACTAACATAACCACTCAGCTCCTCTGTTACACTTGCATGGTATGTCTTTTTCCATCTTTTACTTTCAAGTCTTTTGACTTTAAAACATGTGTCCTGTCATGCAAAACTTTTGGTGTTTCCTCTTTATCTAGTCAATCTCTGCCTTTTGATTTTAGAGTTACTTCAGTTAATTATTAAATATGATTACATTTAGGTCTCCAATTTGCTTTCTGTGATTTTTTGTCATTTTTATTTGTTCCTCCTTTTCTGCCTTGTTTTATTTTAAACATTTTTTTTTTTAGTATGCCATTTCAATTACTCTATTGAATTTCTTATGTCTACTTCTTTCAGTGGTTGCTCTAGGACATCTGTTCTCATGGTGTGGTCCTAGACCAGCAGCATCAGTATCCTATATCAGGAAGTATAAATTCTTGGGCCCTATTCCAAACCTACTGAATCAGAAACTCTGGGAATAGATGGGGTCCAGTAATACATGTTTTTAACAAGCTCTGCAGGTCAATCTGATGCACACTGAAATTGTGAACCAGCACTCTAGTGATTACTTCCTTAAATCACAACAATCTAGTTCAAGTTAATACTGACTTAATTGCAATAAAATATAAGAACCTTGTACCAGCACAATTCCATCTCCTCTTCCTCCTTTGTGCTCCTGTTATCACACATATTCCATATATATATGTTAAAAATCTTAATTATTTAGTATTATAAGGTTCACTTCAAATATTTAAGGCTTTTAAAGAAATTAAAAACAATATATATATACATATATATATATATATATGCAAACAATTTTCTCTCACTTCTTTCAACATATTTAGGTTTAGAAAATTCTTTTTCAGAGTAGATAACCACTCTAGTTCTTCAGGTTCAAAAATTTTAAACATTTTACTCTCTTTTCTATTTAGGATTAATTTTGACATTTGATGTGACAATAAAAACTACAGTAATATTTGTGGGAAAGATCAGTATTACTGACAGTACTATATTACTATGTATATTATATGCACATAGTATTAGTGTGCTAGCAAATAAAAAAATACTGGTGGAGAGAAATAGAAAACATGGTTTAGATCTAAGCCTCACTTCTACCCTAGGTTATACAGGTGTACAGGCATATCTCTTTTACTGCACTTTGCAGATACAGTGTTTTTGTAGAAATTGAAGGTTTGTGGTTCAACCCTGTGTTGAGCAAGTCTATTGGCCCTGTTTTTCCAATAGCATTTGCTCATTTTGTTTCTGTGTCATATTTTGGTAATTCTCCCAATATTTCAAAACTTTTCAGTACTATTATTTTTTACGGTAATCTACGATCAGTGATCTTTGATGTTACTATTGTAACTGTTTCGAGGTGCCACAAACCACACCCATATAAGATGGCAAACTTAACTGATAAGTGGTGGGTTTTTTTTTTTGTATCATTAATCTACAATTACATGAAAGACATTATGCTTACTAGGCCCCCCAACCTTCACCAAGTTCCCCCCCACACCCCTTCACAGTCACTGTAAGTGGTGGGTTTGTTTTGACTGCTCCACCAACTGGGCATCCCCCTGTCCCTGTCCCTCTCCTCAAGCCTCCCTACTTTCTCAGACAATACTGAAATTAGCCCATCTAATAACCCTACAATTGCCTCTAAGTGTTCAAGTGAAAGGAAGAGTCTCATGTCTCATTTTAAATCAAAAGCTAGAAATGACTAAGCTTAGTGAGGAAGGCAAGTCGAAAGATGAGATAGGCTGAAAGGCAGGCCTCTTATAGTAGTTGGCCAAGTTGTGAATGCAAAGGAAAAGTTCTTAAAGAGAATTAAAAGTGAACACACAAATGATAAGAAGGCAAAACAGCCCTATTGCTTATCTGGAGAAAGTTTTGGTAGTCTGGATAGATCAAAGCAGCCACAGCATTCCCTCCCTTAAACCAAAGCCTAATCCAGGGCAAGGACCCAGCTCTCTTCAGTTGTATGAAGGCTGAGAAAGGTGAGGAAGCTCAAGAGAAGTTGGGAGGCTAGTAGACGTTGGATCATGAGGTTTAAAGAAAGAAGCCGTCTCCAAAACATAAAAATGCAAGTAGTTGCAACAAATTATCCAGAAGATGCAGCTAAGATAACTAATGAAGGTGGCTACACTAAATAGATATTCAATGCAGGGTAAACAGACTTTTATTGAAAGGGGATGCCATCTATGATTTTCATAGCTAGAGAGGAAAAGCCAATGCCTGGCTCAAAGCTTCAAAGGACAGGCTGACTCTCTTGTGAGAGACTAATACAGCTGATAATGTTAGATTGAAGTCAATGCTCTTTGACCATTCTGAAAATCCTAGGGCCCTTAGTAATTATGATAAATCTACTCTACCTGTTCTCTAGAAATAGAACAACAATGCCTGGATGACATCACATCTATTGACAACCTGGTTTACTGAATATTTTAAGCCCACTGCTGAGAATTATAGCTCAGAAAAAAAGGTCCTCTCAAAATATTACTGCTCATTGACAACGTACCTGGTCACCCAAGAGCTCTGATGGAGACAGACGAGATGAATATTGTTTTCACGCCTATACATAACATCCTCTGCAGCCCATGGATCAAGGAGTCATTCTGACTTTTAAGTCTTACTCAGAAATACATTTCATAAAGCTATAGCTGTCATAGAGAGTGATTTCTCTGAATAATCTAGGCAAAGTCCATTGAAGACCTTCTAGAAAGGATTCACCATTCTAGGTGACACTAAGCATATTCCTGACTCATGGGAAAAGGTCAAAATGTCTACATAAACAGGAATTTGGAAGAAGCTGATTCACTCCTCATGCATGACTTTAAGAGGTTTAAAGGTCAGTGGAGGAAGTAACTGCAGAACAGCAGATGTAGGAGAACCAGCAAGAGAACTAGAATTAGAAGTGGAGTATGAAGCTGTAACTGAATTGCTACAATCTCATGATAAAACTTGAATGGATGAGGAATTGCTTCTCCTGGATGAGCAAAAAAGTGGTTTCTTGAGATGGATACTTCTCCTGAGAAGTTGAGAAGACTGTTGAAATAACAACAAAACAAAGGATTTGGAATATTACATAAACTTAGTTGATAAAGCAACAGCAGGGTTTGAGAATTGACTTCAATTCTGAAAGTTCTGTTGTGGGTAAAATGCTATCAAATAGCACTGCATGCTACAGAGATATCATTGTGAAAAGAAGTTAGTTGACGTGGCAAACTTCATTAAGTCTTATTTATTTATTTATTTTATTAAGATATCACTGCTTTAAGCTCTTATGAAGGTTTCACATGAAAAAAACAATGTGGTTACTCATTAAGTCTTAAGAAATTTCAACAACAGCGACCCCAACGTTCAGCAGCCACAACCCTGATCAGTCAGCAGCCACCAACATGGAGATAAGACCCTCCACCAGCAAACAGATCACAACTGGATGAAAGCTCAAATGATGGTTAGCATTTTTTGGCAACAGTGAATTTTTAAATTAAGGTATATACATTGTTCTTTTAGACATAATGCTGTTGCACATTCAAAAGACTAGAGTGTATTATAAATATAACTTTTACAGGCACTGGGAAGCCAAAAAATTTATTTGACTTGCTTTGCTGTAATATTCATTTTATTGCAGTGGTCTGGGACCCAACTAGCAATATCTCCAAGGGATGCTTATACTAAAATAGGTTTGGAAGCAAAAGAAAGAAAGCAGGCAGAATGAAGCATCTGACTGTGTCTCCACTCTACAGAGTAAATACAGTCAAAGCAGTAATATTATCACTTCTGATTTCTCTGGACCTACTTACCTTAACAGTATAGCAGCGAATGGTGTGATCACTGGAACCAGTGAAAAGGGCAGCATTCTTTCCAGAGGTCTGAATAACCAGGAGGCAGTTCACTTTGGAGGTGTGGCCCTCAAAAACACCAATGCACTTCCGATTCTAAGGTTAAGCACAGATCACATCATTAATGTAGACGGAGAAGATTATATAATGCATTTTGTAAACATAGATACATAACACTCATCTTGCAAGTTAAGAGCTAGAGCCAATCCTCCAAGTCTTACATTTGTACTTCTGGCCCCACTGTTTCCTTCCTTCAGTTATCCCTGTTGCCCCTCACAATATTATGCTAAAGGAACTTACACCTGTCACCTACAACAAAAACATTTTCTTGGTCTATTACCTAACTTTGATTGTCAAGGACTTCAGCAATTTCAAATACTTTCATGGTACTTGTTCAGACCACACAGTATTCCTAAAGTTTCTTGGCTATAACTGTTGATAAGAAGAACTGGTATGACATACACCAAATTTAAAATTCAGAAGTTTATTCCACGAAATCCAGAGTAATGAGCATCAGATTACACTATGTGCAGGGTAGTGGAAGCCTTCTGTTTTAGTAACTTGGCAAATCAGCCAACTATTACAGAAAACCTCTTCTAATATTTCCCCAATATTCATTCCATCCCTTCTTTATTATGTTGCAGCTGTGAGACAGGTCTTATCACCAACTCCAGGGCTGGGACCTGACTGGCTCAAGCCTATCGTTGTAATCCCATCTCCCTTTACCAAGTGATTTTTCACGGAGTAAATAAAGCACAGGACCCTTTTTTGGTGGTAGCAGGGAAAAGAAACCCTGGTAATTCTTGGCATCTATCTATGAGCAGAAGGAGATTGAACTTTAGGAAGAGGTGTTATCAGAGAAGGCAGAGATAGGAATAAATTAAGTCCCCAGTAATGCACCTGAGATGCTGAATCAACTGTATCTAAAGTTAGTCTAAAGCCACCCATCTCTGAATAGCAAATAAATTCCCCTATTGTTTAAGAGAGTATGAGCTGGAGTTTCTAAAACCTGCAACCAAGCAAAAACACTCAAACTGATATATCAACTTACCACCAGATTATAAACTCGGACAGTTTTATCTGCTGAACAGGTATACAGTAAGTTTCCAAATATTTGAATTGCATTCACTGCAGCTTGGTGCCCCTCAAAGCTCCCTTCTGTGGGTTCATCATCATCTCCTGGCTCTGAAGATATTTCTATAAATCAAGAATATGCTTCAGAGATGTGTCTGCTTGTGTCTGAAAATACACTAAAAACTAAAACCATTACAAAAGAGAGCTGTCTCAGAATTATCCTTAAAATCTAGTTCCCCTAGCAAAATACCACACTTTTCATGAATGACTTTCATTATGAAGATTTCATAAGAGAAGGCACAAAAGGCCTTTCACTTAGGAAAAAGATAAATACTCATATAGTAAGTTTTTGAGTGAGTCCTGGAAGGTGCCAAGTATCTCTCCACATCCAGCCTCCTCTGCTTTCAGTTATTTCACCGAGTAAGGCATTATTCTTTAAGCAGTTTCTTCTCAAAGCAAAAACCCCAGAATCATTAAGTCAGTTGAAAAGATGAGAGAGCTAGATAAGAGAGATGGCAGTAAGAAATGGACAGGCAAAGACTTAAGGGTTTAGGGACACCATAACTGCTGGTCACAGCGATCCTCTTGGTGGTGACCAAACCCCCCATTCTCTAACCATACGGAAGTAGATTTAAACCCTGGCTGTAATATTTACAAGTCTTTTTTTCTCTGGTTAATTTAAATAAAATTGAACGACCAAATACCTGAGGAGTTCTTTGATCCTTTTATAGAGGAGATGACAGTCTGAGTCTCTGCCACACTACAAAATAATAGCAAAAGTCTTCTTAGCATCTGTGTCAAAAGGAAGGTAGTAAAACTTGTATTTTCCTGACTCAAATGATTATTCTAAACAATGGGCAAAGTAGCAATAAGAGATTGGTTTTTCCATCTGAAATTTCCATATGAAAGGAAATAAAAGTACAGTAAATACAATACAAAAATGAGAAAGCAGAAAATCTCCACTGCCAGGGTTTGATCCATATCCATGATGCCTAATGATTTTCTATTAAATCTGATTCTTTTAAAAATTCTTATTGATAGCAAACAGTTCTATTTTTCAAGAAAAGAATGGTGAAAGCCATTTTACCTGGACCAATACAACATCCTTACCTTACAGGGATACCATCTTTATAGCGCATGCCAATCTCACTGGTAGAACTGACTTCATCACAGCCAGAACGAGAAGTTTCTACTGAGTTTTGTTCTGCGGAGTTCCAAATATCCTTTTTAGGTGGGCTGTCTGGTTTCTCTTCTCCAGATTCAGAAGACTCAATGGCTACTACTTCCAACTGAGGATTAGGGATTTCTAGAACTTCCAGGGATGAGTCACTATCTGGCTCATCTCTGACACTCTCTTGCTCTGGGCCAGTTCTGCTATCTTCCCAGGTGGAGGTTGTTACTTTTGCCCCTTTAGCTGACTTTCCCGTTTTTAATTTCCTTACAGGTTTAGCAGTAAATACATCCTGCTCAGTGTCACTGTTCTCAGGAATGTGGGCAGCCCGTAGAGTTTTCTTCTTTCGGAGTTTCTTCTTTTTCTTGTTTCCCCTTGTTTCGGCTGATGTTAGAGTGGACTCTGCCTGCTGTTCAGGCTGGTCGGCTGGAGAGTGAGGCTCCTTCTTAAAGGGGGTTTCTGAAGCAAAGGACAATCTTGGAAAAGAACTGGTACAGGCTTCAGACCCACTGTTGCCTTTGACTGGCTCTTCACCTTCTTTATTCATGCTAGGAAGACCATTTGATTGGGGAGAGGGAACGTTTCCTCTGTTTCTGGTATTTTCCTGCTCTGTGGAGAACTTCAGTTCTTGGCTAGGCTCGTGGAAACTTTCTGTTAGCTCTGAGAGGGACAATGTTGCAGTGGTGACTGGATAAACTGAACAGCTGTCAGTGATCTCTCCTGAATTGAGAAGAAAAAAATTACTGCAACTTTTTTGTTTGCTATTTATAGTCATAAACTTCAATTATCTATCATTGATTGGATCAATAATGACATGTCCATGCCTGTTAAAGCTATGACCTCACCTCTCAGCATCCCATAACCTACACAAGTTTCTATTACAGCACTTCCTATCCTTTGTCTTGCATTCATCTCAAACAATGTGCATGTCTTATAGCCTACAGCCTACAAAAGCTCCTATGGGCAAAAATTGTTTCAATCAATGTTTTCTTTCTTGTTTGAAATATCCACTCATTTAATATTGTGTTTTATTCTCAAGACACAAATATCTACTTAGCTGAAGTGCTTTCACCTTTATGTCTGAGAAGTTTTCACTATGCAGTTTACCTGTACATCACCCAGTGTAGCTACACATTGGCTGTTAAAAAGTCAGCAGACTTAAAAATGTCTATTTTCTTTGACTTAGTTATTTCAAGTCTAGAAATTTAAACTGGTGAAATAATCACAGACATACTTAATTAAAGACATATATACAAATAAGAATACAAATAAGATCTATGTATTCAAAGTAAATTATATAAATTGTTGCATATCTGATTATTATGCAACTTCTTAAACTTATTAAACTAGTAAAATTAAAAATGTTTTATATACCCTATTTCTATGACACAGGTCAATGATCTTGACACATTAAGTGGAAAAAAGTCTGGTTATAACAGATTATAATTTGTCCTTTGCTTAAAATCTACATGTAAAAGCACAAATATTTATGATTTAAGAAAAACTGAGATAACATATAACAAAACAATATCCTCATTTTTATACTTTCCCAATTTTTTGCAATGAACATGAATTACCTTTTACAATCAGGAAAAGAAATCTAAAAAAGCTATTTTAAGAAAATATTAGCTTAAAATGTCACATTTCATTAATTTTAAAAAATACTAAATACTCTCCACATGAAAGTAGTAAAATTCAGTAAGAAATATAATACACATTTGAAATAGATATCTAGGTTAGATTACTGTTGCAACAGGTAGCAAAATGTAGGGTAATTCTCAGACTTTTTGTTTTTGCTCAAATCACACAATGCCAGTTCACTTTTTACTTAATTTTCAATATAGCACCATTGTAGTTATACAAACTTCAGATAAGACTTAAAAATCTTAGAAGTATTCTGAAATGATAACCAGGTGAGTGTTATTTTATGAAAAGAGAATTTTTTTAAAAACCTGGCTGTTTCCCAACACTTCTAAAGTTCTTATGAGATGATTCTAAACCCCAGAGTCTTCTGCCTTTCACCATGGCCACCTGCCTATTAGGCTTATATTCATCCTGGCTGGTACTTTAGATGATAAAGACAGCTAAATGCTAAGACATTCAAAGGCTATAGCTTACCCAGAAAAGAGACTGAACAATTTGAATACCATTTACCTCACAAAAAAGAAATAATTCTGCATCAATCCTGATAAATGGAACTTTTTAGGTGCTAATACAAAGTCAATTTAGCAATTCTAGATTAGAGAAAATTAGGTACAAGTGTCAGGTAATTAAATAACCCTCCTAAAGTAAGGTAACTTCAAGAAAAATTAACTGTAGTAACATTAGTTTTTGCAGGGAAGTGGGACTTTACATCACTGACATAAAATTGCCCTAAACCCACTGTAGGGTTACCCTTAACCAGAAACAAATTTACGTACTATTAGCTTGCAGTAATTCCTTGGACACATTACAAACAGAGCCTTGTGACACAGCATTCACATTCTCATTTTGTTCAGGAGACATGGGTTCCTGTTTAATCTGAACTGATGAGTCTGGAGCAGGAACACTGCCATGGGCTTGGAAAGGAGGAGATGGGGTTACTTGGAGAGAGACTCCAGTGGGTGCTGGAGACACATGGGAAGATGGAGGCTCCGGAAAGACTGAGAGAAAAGAAGTAGGCATCAGCGTGGCATCAGCAGATGTTTGAGATCTACTGTTCCTTTGTTCTCGTATAAGGCTACAGGGAACCTGGTCTGGGCGCTCAGAAGGTTCGTATGTTTCTAAAAGGGTAAACATACACACACACAAATGCAAAAATGTTATCTGAAGTTATTTGTTTCTGCCAATTTGTATTTTTAAGACTACAAGAGAAATTTGAAGTCCCTTGTAATACCTCAAAATAAACTGCCACAGAGTCTATACAACCACAAAGGATACGGACAGAACAGAGTTAATATTCCAATGTTTCAGCTTCTAAGCGACTTATCCAAAGTCATATAGGTAATAAATGAAAACCCAAGATTTGAACCCAGGTCCTTTGATTCCTAAACCAAGGCTCTTTCTGTAATATACTGTCCCTGTTGCTAGGCATTTTGAGGATATAATCTCACAGGCTTTTCTATAGAAGCATAAAACCAAGGAGACATGAGAAACATTATATGCTCTTATAATGGCTACTTTAATCCTCCTCTATAGAGACCAAAGAAATCACAAACTACAGAGGACCCAGTCCATCAAATTCTCTCTGAATACCTTGTAATCCCTGTAGAATCTGTATTCTATGGGTCCTCAGTGCACTCATCTCCACAGTTATCTAAAAATAAAGTACTTTGTTAAGCATTTTGAAATCCAACTGCAGAGATGACACACTTTCATTAAACGTTCCATTTGCTGTTACCTGCTGTTTGAGCATAAGTAGCCTCTGAACTTCAACATAAGCTGTCTGAAGTGTTGCACGGGCTTGCAGAAGGTTATTATCCATGCACTGCAATGATTTGCTTAGTTCTTCTTCCCTTAAAGAAATATTCAGCAGCTGGTCAACCTGAGAACGTTCTGCCAGAAGAAGACATAAGGCTCAGTTTAATACTGAAGACTTCCCTTCAATACAGCTCCTCAGAAGTTGGAACTACATCAATTATCTAGGATAAGCCTTTACTTTCTCTCCAGTAGGTCACAGGAGACTCATCAAATTTCACAAATCCTGCAATCAAGCCTAATGCTCTCAGAGCCAGAAAGCACAAGTGAGCACTGGTAAGATGGAAGCACCTGCAGGCTCAAGAGTACCGCCTATGGTACCATCTTCCACCAACAGCCCTCCCAGTGAAATCTTCGTCACAGGCAAATCAGCTTTTGTAGGTTTCATCTCCCACTCTTCTTTTACCTACCACCCTCTTCCCCCAAGGCTTTTTTGCGTCAAGTAGGACCAGACCTGAACTGCTAGGACTCTCCTCCCAATCCATATTTTTCTAGTCTGTTAGTTAATGTAAAATAGTTCTCTTTATTAGAGAAGTCTTCCTGAAGATGTAGCTTTGAAATAGCACATTTAAGTTGCTTTAAATAAAATGTTCAACTATATATACATATTTGTCATCTTCATGTTTGTCTCCTTCCCATTCAGGATGCCAAGACCTCTCCCCTAAACACCAGACCCACACATCCAACTACCAATCTGCTCTCTCTCTAACTGTCTGTCTCTAAGGGATACTCAGGGAACTCATCAGGCTGCTTCCATGGAGTTTTCTAGCTCTGCAAATGATATCATCCATACAGTTACCCCAGCCAGAAACGGGTCATCCTTGACTCCCATCTTATCCCTTGCATCCAATCACTTCCTGCACTAGCCTTTATACAGAACAGGATTAGGGTCAGTGGAAGCAAGAATAAGAAGCAGCATATCAATAAGGGAGCCACCCTAGTAACTTTTCTCTCCTTAATTCACACAAGAAACAACCAAGATGCCTCAAAAATGGGAAGTGAGTGAAATGGCTATAAATGACCAAGAGGAACAAAATTTTTACTAAATGGTCTGTTCCTCTTCATCCTGTTTGAAAGGCGCAATGAGACTTTCTGGCTTTTATATTGAACTCAATTTGTCAAGATATATATAAACTTTAGCTTACAGGTCTATGGGGCATCATATATTTCTTCTACAGCTATAACTGGATATAGCAGGAAATCAAACTTTTCTACTCCCTTTAGCAAGACAACAAAAATACAAATAAATAAACAAATAACAGTGTTTGATAACCACAAGCTATACTATGTGGCAAGATATAAAAATGCTTAATTGTTGCAAGAACAATTTCTTTCTGCTAGAATATTCTGCACTATACCTTTCTTTCCTTTAATTTTCCTTCTTTTATTTTTTCTCTCAAGACTTGGGAGTTCAGGAGAAGATCCATCCTAAGGAAATAAAGAAAACTGAATAATATTAAATACATAAAGGCCATTATTTAGGAGGGGGAAAAATCAATTCTAAGACAGTCATACATTATTAGTCATAATTATTACTACCATCTCTAACATAGTAGTAGGAGTCTATGTGGTATGAACTCAAATATTAGTTGAATGAATGTATCTGATTAAAAAAAATAAAAATAATCTAAGGTCAAGAACCTTCCTGATCTTCCTAGCATTATAGAGGGGGCAAAGCCTACAGAGTTTAGGTGAAGAATTCACTTTGGTAAAGCAAGGCACGGATGCAAGTGTGGACAGAGCCAGCAGAGAAAGGGAGAGAAAAAGAGAGTGAGAGAGAGAGTGTGCGTGTGTGTCAGTCATTGTGGCAGTTTCTATTTTAATTTCAACAGGAAAATCTTTACAACAATAAGCTAAATAGTCTATGAAATAAGCCCCAAAACATCTGCTGTCATCAGATATCTCTCTCAGTGAACAATATCCACTATAGTGTCTAGCTCAAACAGCACAGTTGGAATTAGAACCCCGATCTACAAACATGTCCTTCATTGTTCTGCTATATTGCTCAGGAAATAGCCCATTTTCTCACAATGCTAGCTAGATTCCAGACAGTATCACCACCAGCAAGTCTAAGCAGTATTAGCAACAGAGATGCCAGAAGAGAAGTGGTGTCAATGCAGGCATGGATTCTGAAAGGGCCAGACTGGGTAACTGAAGTACAAGAGTACCAGAGACTAAAAATATTTCTAAGACTATGTTCATATAAACATACTCCAGTAGAATTAAAACTACCTTAGTGGTAAGCGTAGAAGCTCTGGGACCAAAAAGCACACACGTCCTACAAATGCAACAACGCTCCTTTTTGGGAGCAGACAGAATGCACTGCGAAAGAGGTAAGTTACAAATGAAGATGTGGCTTACTCCTGGGTCAGATGATACAAAGAATCATCTGTGAGACTAGTTTTAGAGATGACTTCATGTTTCCCCAGTACAGTATATTGATATTCAATTACATCTAACTTAGTAGAATTACTCAGTGAAAGAAACCAGTAGGATAAGAATATGAAAATAAGAGTCTAACAAATTTTCTATTCCAGAGTAGGGAGAACCACACCCCAGATAGCCAAGAAAAATTTAACAGTTAAATCTTTCTTACAGTCAAGTCCCACATGGAATGTTCTACAAAAAGCACAAAGAATCACACTCACTCCAGTGGCTCTTCGTTTCTTTCTAATATTCTGGCTATCATTTTGTTCAGCACCAGAGGTACAGCTACTATCTGTGGCTGCATCTGCCAAACTGGAGAGTGCAAGGGCTGAGGATGCATTTGATGATGAGTTTCCTTCTCCATTACTCTCCTGGGCATTCTGATTCTCTGATGATGGTGTAGAGCTCTCCTGGCTGTTCAGGTCTTCTGCCAAATGCATCAAAGATACTGCATGGTCAGAGGGCAACTGCATACTATGTCTTCTTTGAGTAGCAACATTTTCAGCCCTTTCACCTGCTCTCAGGGGGGAAGCCAGAGAAGTCCCTTCCTGCTTCAGGGCCATGGTTATTTTCTGACTCTGTGCACTCCTCAATGAGTTACCAGGTGAAAACAGCTGCCGGGGCTCATTTTCTTTGCCTGTACCTTCCTCAGTGAAGAAGTTATACACAGAAGGAGCCCTATCCATGATCACACTGCTCTCAGAAAGGCTTCGCTTCCTCGCCAACCCAGGGGATGAAGAAATGGAAACACCTTCCCACTGGAATCCTTCTAGATCGGGGAGATCAGGCTCCCCGTCCAAATCCAACACCTCTTGATCATTTTGAACTAGAGGCACCATTTCTATGCCAAACCTTAAGAAAGAAAGAAAAGGCATAAATCAGACATGATTGGGGGAGGGTGGGACCACTTACTATGCTCGATTCTGCTAAGCACTGGAGTTACAAACATAAATAAAATGGTTTCTATCCTCAAGGAGCTCAGAGTCCCCGACATAAATTAACTATACTACAAGTGTTGTAATGCGACAAGTACTAAATTAGAAGTAGAGTATAGCTATAAGAGTACATTTGAGGGAGCACAACTGAGGGTTTTAACATGAACATTTAAACCAACAATAATAAATGTGTAATTTTTAACAGCAAACAAACCACAAAAACATTTGAGCATTCACCAGGCACTATGCTAATAACTTTATATTTATAACCTCAATAATACAAACCATGGGAATGGGGGGTACGATAAATACATTATTTCAATAAGGATAGAAATTTAAGCCTGGAGGGCTATGTAATTCTAATACAGCAGGATGATTTTCAAATAGCAAACCTATTTGAAAACTGCTTTAACATTCAGAAAAGTTTAGCACCTCAACATAAGATGAATAGCCAAAATATTACACAAGTATTTTGTAATCATGAATATAATGTCCAGAGTAAATACAGAAGGGTAACTACCTGTAGGTTTTAAGTAAAAGGTAATGAGAACAGTTGTACATAAAAGTTGTGCCACTCATTAAGACATTCCAGAGATGATGGAGATTTACAGATACATTTTTTTATGTTGTCACTTTCTGGCCCCTATAACCAAAGTGATGGATTTCTGTTGATTTTTTTTCTATGTCCCCATCCAAGCTCCCAGATGTACATGTGCTTATTTATAGCCTGAATTCCTTGCTAGGAAACACTTCACTCCATGTGTTACAGAGTAGCCATCACTCTTTGATATTTAAACCAGACATCTGCGACAAGGTGTATTTTTTGTAAACATTTAATTAAATGTCACAAGTAGAATTCTCTTGACCAGGGTCAAGGGATAAGTTTAAAAGAAAGAGAAATGGATATTGGAAAGAGGCACACACCTGGGTAAGCCTTTGCCTAGCTCTTGCTTTTTCTTGGTTACTTGTTGGATGACCTGTTCCCAGTTGACATTTCTCCGAGATGCATTTAGGATCTGTCGAAGGGTTGGCTTGAGCCCAGATTCCTTCTCTGTCTCACTCTTTCGATGACCACTGATATTGCGAATGCGGCGAGCACTATTGAGGTTTGGCTCAGGAAGGTGTGCTCCAGTTTTGCTCTTCAAACTAATGTGCCGGGTTAGATCTCTCTGGAGTGAGGCAGGAAAGCCAAGCTTACTTAGTTCAGGCAGGAGAGCAGCTGAGGACTGACCTATATCACTTTTTTGAAGCTCTGCATCCAAGCCTGTACTTTCAAAGCCTTCTGTTTCATAAGCTACGTGAGCTTTAACAGGGTCATCAGCCTGTGCATCTTCTAGAGAGGTTTTAAAATCTAGCAATAAACCAGCAGGTGGACTGGCTGCAGATGCCATTTGTAACTCAGATTCTTTTGGATGAACTGTTGAATTACATGGGGAACTAGATACTTTTCTAGATGTTTTCAGGTTTTGGTCATCCCCCTCTTTCTCATCAGTGGTATGAGTGCTGCAGGATAAAATTTCTTTAATTGCAGAACCCAGGGTTCCAATTTTTGTTTCATGCTTTTCTGTGTCAGACATTTCTCCATCACTTTCATCTTCTAATGTATGTACCTGAAACTCAATCTTCAAAGACCCTTTTTCAGACTCTTCTACATTCCTACTTGCTTTTGCATAGTTTCTGGTCCTTTGAGAAATGCTAAGAAGTGGACTTTGCAGTGACTCATGACATGGCAGCACTTCTTTGGCTCTTTGTAATGTATCACTTAAATTTTCATCAGGTTCCTTCTGAGTGCCAAATGTACTTTTATTGCCTTTTAAAACACGAGGACATGAACTTCGTAATTTGGAGATGTAAGAACCACGACTGCCTCCCACAGTGGGTTTGGGCAAGGGATTTGAGTGTTCTCCAGGAAAAAAAGAATTCGTTTTGTTGTTTTTGGAGGGATTCTTTGAATCTGGCTTTTGAGGAATTGATTTAGTGACTGGAATTGGGAGGAGTGCAGACTTTAATGATGGCATCTTATTTAAGGTATGCTCTTGCTCCATTTCTGAATTGGGGCAATCTCTCACCACCTCATGGGAAGCAGTGCAGTCAGAAGTGGCTTTGTGATTAAGAGATCCACTATTTGTTTCTTTTTGTGTTCTCAGTGTTGGGGAATTATTTATTTCATCCATTTGGGGCTCTTGTGTTCCTGTGGTTGTCAAGCTAAAATCAAAGAAAGGCTTATCCTTTATTTCTAACTTGTTACCAGTGACTTCCTTCATTCCAGATGGTAAATCTAGAGTCTTCTGGGAAGGGTAAGGAGTCCAGCGACGGAGCCTCTCCTTTGCTACACTGCTATTCTTCCCACCAATTTTGGAAGCTATGGTGTCTGTTTGTTTAGTGGTTTGACTTTCCAGCTGCTCAAAACTGAAGTTAAGTAGGCCTTCTGAAGGAAACTTATCACTTGTAAATCCTTCAGAAGGACCTCTATATGTGGCAACCGGACTGATTTTGTCATTTTCTTTCCGCTGCCAATTATATCTCTCTTGATTATATTTGTTTGATTTAGATTTCTTGTTCCACAGCATAGTTGTGTCTTCCATTTGACAGTTAGAATTTCTGTTTCTGCCTGGTTGAAATTTGTCTCCAGGGCCACTGTAATTCCAACTATTTGTACTACGTACACTGGATTTCCAGTTTCCGTTGCTGCTGTTCACATGCCAACTGGAAAAGCCACCTGTTCCTTCAGAATGCCAACTAGAATTCCTTCCTGTACCATTGTGATTCCAATCTACCGTTCCACTATTTGAATGCCAACCACTTCCAGAATTGCTGTGGTTGTGAAACCAGGCTGAGGAGCCTCCTGCAACACCCTTGCGCCACCCAGAACATCTCCTTGGTCCACCACTATTCCTCAAAGAATGTGGAAAGCTGTTTTTCCTAGGATTGTTAAAGCCATCTTTCTCCCATTTCCAGTCCCACTGAGGAGGTCCGCGATGATGCCATGCTGGCTGGCTGTAGCTCTCTCTGTCTCGTCTCCACTGGGGTCGCCTGTCATCAGAGTTTATTTCTTGGCTGCTAATGGAAGGTTCATCTTGTCTGGAAGAAAAACAGGTTTTCATTAGTGATTTAAAGGAAATCTTATGCTTCCATGAAAGGCAAAACCCACCAAACTTCCCTACACCTCCCTCCCTTATTCCTTAGGACATGTAATAGAGTCTATTTTTATTTTTAATAGTGGTTGCTTTCATGTCCTTAAATGATATAGTTAAACTCTGATTTCACAATTTACTGACTCAGAAATTAACCAATATCTTATTTTTGCTATCACCCTAGAAATACTAAAAATTTGACCATTTATACTATCCTCCCTTTCCTGCTGTTTTTCTTGGCATGTTCTTGCATTTTTTTCCCTGTCTGTCATCCAATTATTTTTACATTAGGCAGCTTTTTTAGAATAAAAACAATCACATTTTGTAGGTATGATCAGTTATTGTAGTTAATATTAAGTTCAGCTGCTCTTAAAATGATTTTTCCAGTTGCAGCTTCTTTATGAAAAACCCAGTTTCTTAACCTATTTTAAATGGTAAAACTGTACCTTTAATAATCACTTTCATTAATAAACACTTTAGCAAGCACACATTTAATGACTGTTGGTGGTGAAAGAAAACTATTCTGTATAGTTCCTGTTTCTGAGGGGCTTACAACCTAGCTGAGGAAAGATTAAGGTCACAAACAGGAGCAAAATAGCACATACCAAATAAGGAGAACCCACAATCAGTGCTATAAGGAGCCCCACGAGCTACAGGTTTCTATAAAGAAGCCACAGCTGTTTAAACTACTCATGTTAGACAAGGAGCCCACAGAAATGTTAATAAATGTAAATGAACATCACAGGAATCAGTGTAAAACCATTTCCCTCTACAAATTACCTATATAGGCCTACTATAGTGCTTGGTATGTCATAGGTGCTCAAAAAAACTAAATAAAACTAGCTAAAATTTATTGAGTTGTCTGGCATTTTAAGCACTTTATAGATTATCTCATTTAATTTTCACAATCTTGAAACAAGTGTTCTTATTATTCCTTATATTTTTGATGAGAAAACTGAGGATTAGAGAGGTTAAGTAGCTTGCCTAGAGTAAGCAAGCCCGCAAGTGGTACGGCAGGGATTTGAACCTAGGCAGTCTGACTCCAGAATCTACAACTCTTAACCCTAGGCCTTGACAGAATGAAAAACCCAAAGAACAAAGTTTCTGCAGTTGAGTTCCCTCCTCTGAACTTGACTTAAATCTTAAACTCAGTACTAACTTTAATTGGCCTTAAAAGCTTTTAATGTCTATAAGATTTTAGACACAAATTAGAATTTTTTCCTTTTCACAAGATGGAATTAAAAGTTAATTTACATAAAATGAGTTTATGTAAACATAGATTTTGAATTACAACTGTTTCAAAACAGGATACTCTAAGTCCCCAAATGACAGATGTTATTACATACTCTTGCAAGATTTTTGTACCACCATTAACCAAATTGCTTTTATCTTTTGTTTCTAAGCAGTACGCAACTTCTGACATCCGAGCACATCATTGGCTCGACTATTTTAATATGATCCAGAAATGGGAGAACTGGGCAACAAATGAGCCACAAAGTACAATTCCTAGATTATGAACTGGCTAGATCGAGGGGACAACAGCATGCAGCTAAAGCCACAGCCCAGAAAGAACCACCTAGATTAAAAACCTTATGAAAGAAAAAACAAAAAACACCTCATGAGGAAATAAGCAGATGACTTGATAAATAGGTCACCAAAGAGGCATATTTGAATGCTCAAAAGATAGTCACTGCAATATGAATGTCTAATTTACTGAGAAGCTCTTATACTCTCTGACTTAATGTTTAATCATTTATAGATAGCTAATAATGGCACAAGTGTAAGAAAAAAAACAGAAGTTAGTCTCTTAAGGCTCCAACACCGTAACCAAGAATAAACTACAGCTCTACTCAAAGTAGTTAGAATGTCATTTGAAGGACTAAGCAACTGAATGGATTTAAGAACCATGTTTCTGTTGATACTTTAAGAGTAAGAAAGTCTCCTTCAAGGACTTGTTCAAAAAACTTTTAGCATATACAGTAAAAAAACGACTTCCCTTTTATGCTAAACGTCTAAGACTGAAGTACAGACTGGGTGTAACTTTAAAATTTTAAATGTTAAGGTCTTTAAAATATTATTTTAGAATTTGAAGTGTTTCTCAGTATGTCCTAGGACTTGAAAAATTACCCCACCTCATAACTGGTTCTCTCTCTCTTTTACTCATATCTGCTTCATTAGTTAAACTCTTTACATCAGAAATCAGTAAGGTAAAAATACAAAAGCCCTAATAAGTGAATTATGTAGATATGCAATTATGTAGTACAAGCTGGAAAACGTACATTGCTCCAATGATTGTTACACTGTCAAACTGAAAATATAAATGTATTTAATAAGTATTTTCTGAAGCACAAAGTAATAAAGTGATAAATCAAATTTGGTAGAAGTGCCATGTTCATATCAGGCAAAACATTTTTTCCTAAGGGATGCAACAAGAAATACTATATAATTTATTCAAATGAAATTTGTACACTAGTACTTTTCTACTAGAAAATTTGGAGAACGAATAAAAGCAATTTATTGTAGTCCAAAAAAATCTGGAACAAATAAAAACAATCCTAAACATAGTTATCAACATGGCAAAAATTTCAGATATGCAGAAGCTATAGTTGTACCACATCCAGAGCTCTTGAATCAACATCCAGAGCTATAGGAGATGAATAATTTAACTGCTTTTTTTGCTTCCTTTTGTGTAGGGACAATACTGCTTGTTTTTTTTAAAGCAGATAGTACCATAGTTTGAGAAAGGATTCCACTGACCTTTTATGCAAGATAGAAATTTTAAGCTAAATTCTGTAACTAAGATAAACTTGAAAGCTACAGGCTGAAAAGTATGGAAGTGGTAAATGTATTTTCTACTACATTCTGTTTCAGATAACCTTTTTCAAAAAATAAAATTCATTACTCACCGACTTTGTTCTTTCCTTTGTTTTATTAACTGCAAAAGTTCCTTGTCAAAATAATCTTCTTCCTCTTCTCCCTTTCCATCATCTTCTCTTTCCTGGGCATCAACGTTATCTTTGTGCAACTGGCCAGAAATGTGCTTTGCATATGCAGAAAGCCCCACTTCTGTGACCCCGCATACTCGGCACTCATGACTACTGTCCCTAGGGAAAGAGGGAGATGAGGGACATTCAATTCTCCCCACTGGCATGGCACTCTCCCCAGACCTGTTACAGTTTCCTCTGAAAGACACTGCACACTTCCGCACAGTGAAGAATTAGTACTGATCGATTTCAATGCTCCTTTCATCACTTTCAATGAATTTGTTCATAAATTATTTTTGAAATGAATTTAAGATTCTTTTCCAGCAATCAAGAGGTAGTACACTTCAGAATAATGTAGTTTAGGAGGAGAAAATCTTCTTAATTGCTGTACTTAAAATCTTGCCAGAGGAAACGTGGTGAAAGGGGAGGCAGGGCAGGGGGCTCAGAGCAAAGAGAAGCTGCTCTGGAGCTCACCCATGGTGCCGGCTGCTCTCAGCAAGCCTGGTGACAGTGCTTACATTTAACCTCTGGCTCCAGAGCTTTCTCCCAGTGAAAGTTAAGGGGTGGAGAAAAGAGTAGGTGGCATAGCCAATCCCAACCGGGTAACTAAATTGGAACACTTGGAGCTCTGCCAGGAATGTGAAGATTCCAGTTCCCAGGGCAAATGACAGGAGTCATCTCAACAAACTTTTTTGGTCTAGATGATACATGTGATCTGCATTCTGCTTCAGAAGGGCTTATTTTAAAGGGAATGGAAAGCATTTCAGTTGTAGGAAGTTAACAGCTGTGCTAGGCAAATGGTTTTTCTCAAGTTTCAGAAAATGCTACAGTTGAGAGAGAAGCAAAGCCAGGTTCTTAGCTGAGAAAACTGGGTAGACTTTTTTTCTTTTACTTAATACACTTAATGGTAAATCTCATACTTGGCTAATTTAAGAAGCCAAAGTCTTGAATCAACATCCAGAGCTATAGGAGATGAATAATTTAACTGCTTTTTTTGCTTCCTGAAATCCCCTGTTCGGGTCAGCTGTCTATGCAGCCACTGATGAGAATCATTGAACACCATGACCACAGATTTGATGAATGAACAGGAGTAACGGTTTCATGATCCAGATTGGCTTAACTCTGTATTGTCTGTCTTGGTTTATACCAGTTTTTGCACTTCCTAGGCCAACCTATTAAAAAAAAGTCAACACAAAAAGGCATGCCATCTTTGATAAGACACACACACACACACACACACTGTTCCATCTTCCCCTCATATACATCTATCAAACCAAGGCAAAATTCATATCACCTAACCAGAAGGGACCCCAAAACCATGCAACTTCATTTACTAGGTTTCTCTTGCAGATCTGAACATTCATTCCAAAAAAAAATTTATTGATCAACTACCAAATTCCAGGCACAATAGTAAATATATGGTTACGGTTGTCTAGGGTGACAAAGTATAAACAAACGATTCCCAGTAAATTAAAACAAAACAAAATACAGTTTCTTACTTTGTAAGAATTATGGAGAACACTCAGAAAAATGGGGAAAATTCATTAAGTTTTTTACCTTTTTTTGGCTCATAATCTCAAATGCTCTTGATGTAACATAGTCTTTGATGTTAAGGTTAATTTTAATGAGTTCCAATCAGGTTCTCTTAAAATACTATTACCTGATTATCCTGAATATCAATATTCTAATTCCTTCTAGTCCTCAAAGAACTTAAATACATTATTTTCACTGAGAGTGTTCCACTGTACTTACTGTATTTACATACTTAAAGAAAAATAATCCTCAACTTTTTCCCATTGACCAGGGATATCCATACTCTTCTCTCCAGCAATTAAAATTGTGGGAGCTCAAAGTGAACATAACCTTTTAACAGAAAACAAGCCTACTCTCATAGGAACTCAGAAAGATGTTAATATATAAACTTAAATCTCTCCAAAATGGACAGTACTATAAAAATCTGAGTCTTAAGTAACCTAAAATACATAATTCACATAGTAAAAATTTGAAACAACTGCATTTTCTGGTTAGGAAATCTTTTGGGGGCTTTAAACTCTCTAAAATAATGGAAAATGTTTCAGTCCACTTTTCTACCTAAAAACTTATAGAATGCTAAACTGTATATTGCAGTACTAGGGACATGATTATAAAAGGTATTCTTCAACAAAATCCCTGATTTTGCCTTTACTTCTAAAATGCAGTGAATTTTTCTCATGTCAAACCATCTAAATCCCTCTATCTTTAAAGACGTAACTGGAAGGCCACACTGGCTTTTTAAAATATTAAGGAATGTAGTGTAAAGCAGACAGTATTTGAGTGCGTTAAAAATAAACATCCATAATCACAAACCCACATACTTTGCAATCCCCAAGTATATGTTGGAGCACAACATATATAAGTAAAAGCACAAGTATATGTTGGATATGTAACAAACACTCAAACACAGATTTTTAAAACATTTCTCCTTTCCTTGCAACAAAGAATATTAACTATAGTTCCAAGTTATTTGATAGAAAAACACCTTAAAAGATCCTGCCCAGAAGGGTACACACAGTAAGTGCAACATAAAAGTTAACAGTAAGAATGATTTATCAAAAAAGAGGGACTTAATATTTTTTCTAATAAATGAAATCTAGCTAAAAAAAAAAAGATAAGCTTTACAAGAAACCTCAAAATAAGAAAAGAGAGAATGCACATTTACTAGGGAAAGAACAGGGTAGGTCAACCACATCTCTTCAAAATTCAAGTATGTCTGTGTCTGGAGGCAAGCATATTACCTATTCTACACACAATATGCGCTCATGCTTCCCACATGGTATTTGGGAAACCATGTTTGGAAAAGTTAACAACAAAACAAATAATATTTTAAAGATGTTGTCTTCCAATTCTTTGTCATAACCAGTTAAAATACTACTTTATGTAATTATGCAAAGTAACTGTTGGAAAAACATACTGCTTTACTTCCTGAAAGATGGAAAGTTTCCTCAGGGTGTTTTAAAGGAGGGCCCGAATTAGCCTCATCCTGTTACCACCCAATTTCCTCTCATGTGTGAAAGGCCAAGCCTTAAGATATTCTATCCATAAGCTTTTCTTTATTAAGCCTGCTCTAACTATACCACAACAGCTGGTTGATAAATAAAGGTCTGTGACTTTTTAATAGTATTTATCTGTAGGAACTACTTAAGAGGCCCACACATCTGAACACATATTAGGAAAAAATATGGAAATGTTCCAGATGTTCATAATTGTCAACCAAAATTTACAGTTATATGAATATAAAGTGAAACAGAAGGCTGTAACATTGTCAGTAATTACACATGAAATTCAGGGGAGATAATCACAAACTGATAGAAGGAAGGAGAAAGAATAATAACTGATAACTATTTGTCCCTATGGTACAAACTAGTGAAGACAATTTGTCACTACAGCAAATGTTAAGTATATGATTTCTGTAATTTTTTTTTAAATAGTTTTGTCTGCTGTTTTCCTTGCAACCTGCTTGCCTTCTCCCTTGTAATTTGTTACAGACCAGGGAACTATATAAAACTTGTTAGTATTTTATCTAAACTATGAGCAAATAAGTACCAAATTTGCTCTCCCTTAAATAAAATGAGTTTGGGTGTTAAAGCTGACATTTATGCTGTCAACTCAGAGGTTTCTACTGCTTTCTCTTTGATTATTTGACTATGCTCCAAATAACTGAAAATAGTAGACAAAACCTCCACTTATGTTAATAAAACAAAATATGTGTGTATATAGAAATATAAATCTATGTATACAAACAGAAAGATGTTTGGGTAAGATATACACCAAATTATTGACTTTCCTCTAAGAGGGGAGGAGGATTTGGGAGAAGGAGCTGAGAGGACTCTACTTTTTACTTTTTATGATTCTGTATTGATTATGAACATGAATCTTAAATCAAAATGTTTTTAAGTAGTAGATTAGTGATTTTTGAATAAAGAAGGCATTAGTCTTAGAATAAAATGGGCTTCTTTCCTAATGACTAGATTACTGACCTCATTTATTTTGTTGGATTTTTATAATGCAGTCAGGTAGCAGGTAAACGGCCCAGAAAAAGGTGAATTCCAGAGGGAATTCTGTTGGAAATGGGATAAAGTAACTAATATAACCAAATGTAGATAATCAAAGGTTGACTATACTTCACAGATTTCCAATGATAATGAGTTATAGATTACAGACATTTGCAATATTACGATAAGGGCTCACCACACTAAATCTGAGTAAGAGCCTCTTTTGTACTGCCGCCACGATCTAACCATCCCACAGCAAGGTGCTGAGACCATGGAAAAATTCCACTAATTTGTTAAACAGATACTGAAAATTTAGTGACATATTAGTTTGCTCACACAATCTAACCCTGTATTACTTAAAATACAAATATTTTCAAATGATGTAGGCTGACATCTTGATCAAAGCTTATAACTATACTTCATGGAAGACAGAATGAATATTTCCCAGTTTCCCAATGTTTCTTTGTTCCATACTGTCTCTAAACTCCAAGCTCACACAAGTCAAAAACATCAAAAAAGGGACCATGATGGAAAAAAAAGACATGCAATATTCACATGCTATCTTTTAATTTTTTAAAGGTGCTACTTATTAGATTTTCCTTCCTTAAACATCTCAAGCTTTACATCACAAAATAGCATTCTTAAATACTCAAAGTTTGTACTTTTATTTACACTAATGAGATTCAATACTATTTGACAGACTTTGGACTTCTCAGACTATTCTAGAAACACTAGAGGTTTATGGCATGCAATAATTTGTAACAATTCTGAGGCAATGATATAAAATATCCCAGTTGTAAGGCTGGTATGTAGAAATGAGAAAGTTTACTAATTAGAGAATCAGCTCATCCCAACCCACCTTTATTGTAATCTAGTTGCTGGAGCTCCTGTGAACTCTACATATTTGAGATGCACAAAGATTTATCCTTGTTGAATGCCAAAAAAAAATCTACTATACTTGTTATTAATTCTAAAAACAGTTTTATGCCATAAGACAATATTCATGTATGAAGGATTACTATAAAATACACTGACAGGCACCATCAGCACTCAGATCCCCTCCCCTCTCATTCACAAGTTTATGGAAGATAGCCGTTCCCATACCTGCCCTTCAGGTTCTCAAGTTCCCTGTGATGCAACATGCTCCGCATGTGTTTGTCCATCTCCTTCAAAATTAAAGAAAGCAGATTAAACAAAGGGGGACTGCTTTGGGAAACCAATGTTCCTTTGGTCCTATTCAATCAACAGTTAGAGCTCAAGTTCCTTGTGTCAAAAGTGTTTGTTGCAGTTACTCTTCTCAATTCAATATTGAAATCAGTTACTTATTAAATGATTCTTTAGCTGTGTTTTTTACATATTTCATTTTTAAATAAAGGAACTGTTAAGAAAGACCTATTTAAGGGGCTCTCCTCAAAGGTTAGAAAGTATGTTATCTTTAGGAGGCCAAAGATTTAAGAATAAACTCTGTGGGTTAAATTTTATCCCAATATGAGGAATTTAATAGTTTATTTTATTATAAAAAGTCTCTGAAATCATGTAACTTCTCAACTACTTGGCTACTTTTCTCCATAGTCTTTCCCAAGTCAATTGAGTTTCTCAAGAGTTAAGTTATAACTCTCTCTGTTGGCTAGGGCCTGACATACACTCATCAGTACTGTTGAATGAACAGATAGATATAACAGTTCTAGATAGAAGTAAAGAACATAACAGAAATTCTTTATGGCTGATCAGAAAGTTTTTAAAAACTGCTTTGAACACAGCAGCTCAATCATGCCTTCATCATCACTGCCCATACCCCTACCCCCCAAATGATTTGTTCGGTTTTAATGAAAAGTTAAAAAATTTACTTGGTTCTCTCCTCCCTTCTTCGCACCTTTAATGGGAAGAAAATTAAATCTGTGGGAAGAGCTTCCACTTAAAAACTTGTGTGCACATGCAGACACACCTCTAAAAAATAAAAAAGCTGTAAATGTCTGTCCCTTTGTCACACCAAAGTGTATACACCCAGCATGCCATAATTAGAGAATGGCTGTTTACACATATAATAAAAGGCCTACCATAACTGTTGAGTATTACTATTAACTGTTCCCTGTGCTGGTGTCCCAAACATTTTCTCACTTGAACTGCAAAACACTGCTGAGGAAATATTATTAACGTCATGAGGACACAAGGAATGCAGAAAAGCAAACTTACTTATTCAAATATTTATCAAGTCTTATTATGTGCCAAGTACAGAGCTAGACATTGAAGGAGTAAGTGTGAAAATATTCAGTCTTGCCCTCTCAGAATCAGAGATAATCAGGTGGTCAAGCTAGGACTCAAACCCTGGCAGATCTGAACTAAAGCTAATGTTTTGAACACCATGTAAGCACTTGGTGCATTGAGATTTTTTCATTACATACAGTTCATTTGTCAAAAAGAGCACACAACCTAACTACCTAGTCTTACTTTATCTACTACAACTATGTGACAAACAGGGTTATGATTCACAACACTTTCTTTAAATGGCAATTTTACTGAAGATAACTGTTTCTTTCCGATTTCTACAAATGCTTCATTTGGAGGGGTAGCTTTACATGTGACTCCTTCTAGCTACAAATGACTGGCCACTAATTAGAATGAACACTTACAGTGCGGAAAACTGAGTTGAATTGACATAATATAAAATGAGAAAAATCCATAAACAATACACAACACCTGCTCAAATCTCCATGTTTCCTATTATTTAATTTTATCTTGGATTAGATTTACATATGCCAAATCCCCTTTTATTGAGCTAAATTTAAGTGAGCTCTGTTTCTTAAAATAAAACCACTCCAGACTAAAACAGTATTCACTGAAATAGGTTATTCTCTGATATAAAAACCAATTTTATATTCTATTTCAGTTATAAAAACATTATCATTCAAAACTAGTTTTAACATGATGTTTG